ACTATGATGGGCTTCATTCCCCTGACCCTGAAAGAGCCTTCAATATGGCAGTGTTGAGAAGGACAAATAAGGAGAGGCTGCTAAAAATCTCAGGACCGGACCGGAACAAATGGAGACATTACTGGCGCCCGCTTGAGCAAATCAATGAATAACGGGACAACAGTGATACAGTGATACAGTGATCTTTAATGCAAACCATAAGGCCCAAAAGGAAAGACAGACAGAGACGGAGATAGAGAGAGACACAGAGAGACACAGAGAAAGACACAGATAGAGACACACAGAGAGAGACACAAGGAGAGAGAGAGAGAGAGAGAGACAGAGAGAGAGAGAGAGAGAGAAGAAAAGGGCAGGTCTGCCATAGAGGCAGGTGGATGGGGAGGGAAACTGGGACCATTGGTAGTGGGAAATGTGCACTGGTGAAGGGACAGGTGTTGGAACATTATATGACTGAAACCCGATCATGAAAAGCTTTGTAACTGTGTACATCACTTGACTCAATTTAAAAAAAAAATTTTTTATAAATAGCCTGACCTCGGCAAGGTTGCCAACTGGATCCAGCTTTATTGGCCACTGTTAGGTATAGTTTTGGGGAGTCTTGACTGACAGGTATCTCCTCAAATTTTGATTTGGAAGTCACGCAGTGCCTTACACTGGGCTCCTTTGCTTCTAGGACAGGAACTTCCTCACAAGTGAAACACACTTCAGTCTTCAGACTCTTGCACATACCTGTCCAGTGTCCCAGTGGAAAATCAGGATCTCATTTTGTGCACAAATAACAGTTCCTTTGTGGAACAATGTTTCTTTGTAGAAAATGTTAAAGACAGAATTTTCATTTGATTCAGCAATTTTGCCACTTAGCTGGGTATTGAAGGCATATTTGCACATTCATGTTAATTACGGGCTGGAGCAATAGCACAGCGGTTGGGCATTTGCCTTGCACGCAGCCAACATGGCCGACCCGAGTTCGATTCCTCCGCCCCTCTCAGAGAGCCCGGCAAGCTACCGAGAGTATTCGATATGCCAGACACAGTAACAACAAAGTCTCCAATGGAGATGTTACTGGGCCCGCTCGAGCAAATCGATGAACAACGGGAGGACAGTGACAGTGACAGTGACATGTTAATTACAGCATTAACAATGACAGTTGAAACATGGAAGCAACCCAAATGTCCATGAACAGATGAATGGAAAAGCCAAATGTGCCCTATTTTGATTATCATATTTATCTACATATCAGTGTTTTATAATAGAATGTCATTCAGACTTTAAGAGGAAAGAAATTCTCACTCACACTGCACCACAAATAAACCTTGAGGATGTTATGTCAAGTAAAATAAGCCAGTCACTAAAAAAATCTAAATACTGTATGATTCTACTTATATGAGATATTCAAAAATATAGTGACAGAATGTAGGGTGACAATAGATAGGGGCTGGGAAGTGAAGGGTAGAGAGTTGTGTTTAATGGGAACAAGGAAATAAGGAAAGAAATGGGACCCAGACCCTGCTCCTTCTGACCCTAGTAGGCCTTGTCCACTCACCTCCCAGGAACACCACTCATTTAATCTGATTGCTTTCATGGCTAGAGGTTGCATAGGAGTGTAGATTGCATTCGTGATTCTCTAATGGTGCTGAGCATCATTTTATGTATTTGATGGCTATCTGTATATCCTCTTTGAAGAAATGTCTATTTGAATTGTTTGTCCATTGTTTAAGTGGGTTGTTTATATTACTGTCTCGTTGATAAAGGTTCTTTATATGTTTCGGATACTTGACCCTTCCCATACGTATGATTTGCAAATTTTTATCCTATTCTGTGAGCATTTGGCTGATAATGTTGATGCACAAAAGTTTTAATTCGATTAAGTGCAGTTAATCAGCCTACTTTGAAAAACATGTTTTAAACAAAATATTTATTATATGATTTTTAATATAAAAACATAGGTAATAATAATAGGTAATAATAATTGGTATAATGAGGCTCCCCAGATTTGCCATGAAGTTTCAACAACCACCAACATTTGTCAATATTGTTTTATCTTTGTGCTTTATTTTTTTGGTATGCGTGGTGCTGTTTGGGCTACAATATCCTGAATTAAGTAGCAGGCAGTATGCTAGTGCACTTGTAAATTCTTCACTGTGCATCATTTTCGGTTTCCATAAGCATCAGGTTTCTCTCCATGGCACAAAATCAGGAACTGAGCCTGGTGATGTTCTACTTACTTCAGACTAAGATTTATTCATTTACCTTAAAGGTCTATTTTCTTTGTCAATATTGAGTTAGATTCTCAACTATAGACATGTTACATTCAATTGCTCTTTTCACGTCTCGTACAACACGGATTCGGGGGGCAACTGGATTTGGGGCACAGGCGAGCATGACTCAGATCTAACTCAGATAATTTGGACTTGGAATTGGGCTCCAGCAGAGTATTAGCCGCAGGTCGCATCAAACATAGCGACTGTCTCTTTAAGGGGTGAACAGGATTAACCCAAGCTGCCTTCCCGGGAAGAAAAGACAAGGGGGCGGGGCGAGGTGTCCCGCTTTGCTCCACCTGGGCGGGAGCCGCAGCCAATCACACAACCCGACCCCTGGAGCCTGGAGCCGCGGGTGGAATTTCAAGCTCCGGGTCCCGCCCACCAACGTCCCTCCAGCCCCGTCCCCGCCCCCAGAGGCTGAGTGGCTAGCTTTGAGTCTGGCCCCGCCCCCGATGGCCCCGCCCCCGAGCCCGGCTGCGATCTTTGAGTGGCTCCCTACACCCCAAAGTCCCGCCCCTAATCCCCGCCCCCTGCGGGCCCGGCATGCTTTGCGCCGGGCCCCGCCCCGCGCACGTGTCGCGACGTCCCGGGCGGCGGAGGAGGAGGAGGTGAGGACGCGGGCGGGTCGGGCCGGGGAGCGGGAGCCGCCCGCCCGCGGTGGGTTCGAGCCCGCAGGTGTGGCCCAGGGCCTGCCCCCGCCGGGGATAGAGCCCGGTCCTTGGTGAGGGTCCTGCAGCCGCCTCCGCCCGGCCGCCAGGTGGACGGACGTAGGCGCCGTCTCCGGGGCGGACCCGGCCTAGGTGCTGGCGCTTCATTCCGATGAAGTGATTTTGGGTGTTTTTACGGGAACATTTACGCAAGAGGTCATAGGATGCCGGGGATGCGTTTTAAAATTGACTTGTTAGGAAGGGGACACCTGTAGCCTGAGCTCGAATATGAAGTCTGTATTGCCAAGTTAAGTACCGGGCGGCCTGGGTGCTGCAGAGACAGACATGCGTTTGCTCACACTTTAGAGGCTAGAAGCCCTAAATCGGAACAGGGAAGATAGTTCAGGGGTTAAGGCACGTGCCTGGCACCTGGCCAGTACAGGTTCTGTCTGTGGTACCGCAGAATGTCCAGAAGTAAACTCGTAGCAGTGCCAGCTGTGCCCCCAGCCCCCACCCCAAAGAAAAGGAAAGAGAATAGAAAATCAAGGTGTCCGCTGAACTGGTTTCTTCTGGAGCCTCACTAGTTTGCAGGTGATGCATTCTTGTTTTGTGGGGGCTACGCCTGGCAGTGCTCAGGGCTTACTCGGGCTCAGCCCTCGAGGGTCACTCCTGCAGGGCTCTGGAGGCCATATGTGGTTTCTGGAATTGAACCCTGCCCTGTGCGAGCAAGTCAAACACCCCCAACCCGTTGTGCGCAGTAAATGATGCATTCTCACTGGTATCCTCTCAGGGTCTTATGTGTCATTGTCTTCATCCTCTGATCTTTTGAGGATTCCAGTCATACTGGTGACAGTTTTGCTTAATTCTGTCCCCCTTCCTGCCTCCCCTCCCCCCCCACACACGCTTTATTTAAACACCATGATTTACAAAGTTGTTCATGATGATTTGTTACAGGCATTCAGTATTCCAACACCGCCACCACTGTCACTTTCCCGCTACCGTTGTCTCCATTTCCTCAACCACCCCTCACGCCTGCCCTGATAGAAGGCACCAGATGATTTATTTTCTATTGCTTATACCGGCCTGGAGCAATAGCACAGCGGGTAGGGCGTTTGCCTTGCAAGCAGCCAACATGGCCGACCCGAGTTCGATTCCTCCGCCCCTCCCGGAGAGCCCGGCAAGCTACCGAGAGTATCTCCCCCGCACGGCAAAGCCTGGCAAGCTACCCCTGGCGTATTCGATATGTCAAACACAGTAATAATCATCACAGTTGTTCCTGGAGATGTTACTGAGTCCGCTCGAGCAAATTGATGAGTCCTGGGGAAGGGAGGTGGCTTCACTGGGAAGGGGTGTGATGTTGCAGTGATGGGCCAAGGAAACCATCATTAACAGTATTGTAAATCATAGAACCTCTGTATAAAAATGTTTTTAGAAATTTTCAAAAATAGACACATGTTGAGAGTGTAGGCCTTCCAGTACAGGAATTGCGAAAGGGATCTGGGTTGTACCACTCAGTTGGTAACACTGAATAAAACTGATAAAACACAACAACTGCTGATCAGTCTTTGGGTCCTTTACTTCCCTTGTGCCTTGGCTTTCATGTCTCTTAAATGGGGCCAATAGAAATGACTAGGTCTTGGAGTTTTCGGAGTTAATGGTCAGATAATATATGTCGCTGGCTCAGATCTGTGTCTCGCATATGTGATGCATCCTGAATTGAGCACGTTCCCCGCATCAGTGATCACTCCAGGATGAGAAGGAAAGTGCAGTAGTCAGGTTCTTGGTGCTCTGCCTAACCATGGAATAAAAATAATGGTCACGGTTGGTATCTCGCGAGGTATCTGCTACTGTGCCAGGTTTTGAATGTTTCACAAGCGTTCTTGCATTTCTAGAGGTGGGTCACGTTGCCCCTTTGGCAGAGGGAGGGATGTAGAGGTAGGGCTGGATTTGAGCTTCAGCTCGAGAGCATCTTGCCCACATTGTAAAGATGGTGAGTGACCTCCGCTGCAGGAGAAAGGACGGGGTGTCCGCGCTGCAGGAAGCCCCCCAGAGCCATTTGCTGACTGACTTCTCTTTCTCTCGGTCTAGGTTTACAGTGGTGGCAGTACTCATGGCTGGTCCCCTGTGGCGGGCCATAGCTTTTGTCCAGAGACACAAGACAGGCTTCTTGGTGACTTCCTGTGCAGGCCTGTTTGGGGCCCAGATCTCTCCCCACCTCTTCCCAGTTCCTGCGATCCAATGGCTTTACCAGTACTGGCCTCAGGGCCAGCCTGCCCCGCTCTCCCCAGAGCTTCAGTCGCTGTTCTTAGAGGTGTTAGAGGACATGGGTGTCTCCCCGAACCATAACTTTGAGGCCTTCACCACCTTCACCTTCTTGCCCATGAGTGCTGGCTTCCCTAGACTAGCTTCTGGAGCAATGGTTGGCATCCCTGCCACCTTCCTGGGAGGCCCAGTGATCGACACGGACCAGCCAATAGTGATCCATGGGCACAAAGTACACTGGCAGAGTCCTGCAGGCATCCGGCTCAAAAATGCTCTGATCCTGTCCCACGACGCCAAGAAGTTTGCATTGGCCAGGGAGGTGGCCTATCTGGAGAGTGGCACAGCTGCCCTGCAGGCCCTCCCTGCCCCAGCTTGCCTGGTAGGAACCTGGACCTTAAGTGTGAGTGCCAAGCATGCCCTCGGGCTCTATGGCGGCCCCCTGCGCTTCCGGGTGGCCTTCAACTTGCTGGCAATGGTAGGCGGCTTTGTGGCTTACGCCTTCTGCACAGACTCTCTCGCTCACGCCCTGGAGGCCTGGCTGGACCGCCGCACAGCCTCGCTGTCTGCAGCCTACGCCCGGGGTGGGGTGGAGTTCTACGACCAGGTCCTGTCGGGCAACTTAGCCCTGCGCAGTCTGCTGGGCAAGGAGGGCGAGAAGCTCTATACCCCCAGCGGGAACGTCAGTCCCCGCAGCTGGTTCCGTATCAAGCACCTGCCCTACACCACTCGGCGGGATGTCGTGCTGCACACGTGGAGGGCGAAGCTCAGCGCAGACCGGTCCTGACGGGAGCATGTTGCAAGGACACTTGGAGCTGGGCAGGACCACGGTGCTGCTGGCTGGCAGGAGTCGGGGTGGCAGGGAGAGGTGGGTTCTCAAGGGGTTGGGTTCTCTGCCCCCCTGTAGCCCAGACTCAGAAAAATCAGAGACGTTGGAAGTTAAACAGCCTTGATGCTACCCCCCACCCACCAGTTAAGATCTCAGTCTCCCTGGGCAGAGCCCTCTGAATGTGAGCCTGGCGTCCCCAGCTGCAGAATGGGGACCCTGTCAACGGCCTGGCACAATTGTAGGGTTCTCTGAGCTCGTGATCCTCAGGGCCTTCAATAAATGGGACGTGCGTCCGTGGTCTCAGAATGCCAGAGAAGCTGTAGACCGTGGGAGTTGCTGTGTCTCCCCACCCGAGGTGCCTGTTGGAACGGGACACTGGCCTCTGGTGAAGGTCCGACTGCCCTAAGCTTGCCCGTTGCCCAGAGCCTACTTTCCCTCTGCCGTGACCCACCTAAGAAGCCTTCAGACGCCAAGTTGAAAAGTGAACATGGGTTTGGGATGGTGCTTCAAGGGGGTGGGTGGGGTAGCCAGTGCAGGCACTCAGGGCTGGAATGCTGATAAGGGGGAGCAGGGCCCTGGGGGAGCCCCTGGGCCTCAGACAAAAAAGGTTTTCCTGGAGCCTGCGAAAACCTGTGGTATGGGAGACTCTGGCTAGTGGAATTGGAGGGACTCCACTTGCCATGCAGGGGGAACCCGCTGGTGGCATTCTGAGCAGACAGCCCTGCGGGCATGGAACCAGGTCCCACTGGTCAGAAAGGAGGTGGAAGAGCAGAGGCCTGGGCCTTGGGCAGTAGGCGCCATGTCCAGGGCAGACCGTATCCCAGCCCTCCTGGTTTCCCCTGAGCCCGTGGAACAAAAGAGGCCCCAACCTTCAACCCTCAAACAGTGCCGGTCGGCCAACAGGGCTGGCTTTGTACTCTTTATTGGGATTGTGTCGGGCCTTGCACCAGAGTGTGTGGCTCTAAAGGACTCACCCAGGGAAGGTTGCGAAGCCATACCGGGGCCATTCAGTGGTGGAGAGCATACCGGACTGTGCACCAGAGGGTATCACCGCAGGCCAAGGGCTTGAACTCGGCTGTGTGTCTCCGGGTCAGACGTGGGAGACTGAGTTCCAGAGGGCCAAGTCTTCCCTACTGACCAGTCCCTAGGCCAGGTCGGGTGTAGGCACAGTGCATGCAGAAATGTGTGGGTGAGCTGGTAGAGGAACCACTGTCAGAGACCCCTCAGGATGTCACTCAGCCCCTGCTGCCACTGTGGGACCACATTCTTGGCTGAGAAAGATCGTTTGGGCTATGAATTTGGGTGTCTGTCCTCTTCTCCCCATTTCCCATCCCAGCTGGCCTTAGGCCTTCCTGCTGGTATGACCTCTGCCTAAGGTCACGGTCTTGCCCTCACTCACTGCCCCGTGGGCCCCCCCGGCCCACCTCCAAAGCTCTGCTCACTTCATTTACTCTCTGGTGGCATTTACCTCTCACCGCAGTGCCTGCTGAGTTTGCAGCAAAGAGCAGTTTCCGGTGAGGGCTCGTTTTTCCTGCCACCCGTCATCCACTCTCAGGGCTAAGGCAGCGCCCAGCCTTGGTCCTGCTTGCTGCCTGCTGGCTCTATCTGTGCCCTCCCTGGGAGAATGCAGGCAGTTATGCTCACTTTGCCCAGCCCTTCAAAGTGCCATCTGACACCTGGCTCTACCCTCAAAAGCCCTTTGTGGGGACGTCTTGCTGTGGGTGGAAACTCTCCGTCAGAGTCAGGGTCTGAACATCCATCCACCCTGTCTGGGTTCACTTCCCTCAGCTCTGGAGATTGTCGCCTCATGCTTCCGCTCCTTAGCTGTACCTGTCTCCTGTCCCAGTGTCCTCGGCCAGCATGCCTCTTCTGGTCCCCGCTTGGCTCAGCTCTTTCGTGGCTCCTGAAGAGATCTGACTGAGGGGGATCCTTCTTCATTCATGCCCTGTTCCAGATCCTCTGCCTCACTGCAGACTGAGTCCATCAAGTTGCTGTGGAGTCAGCCCTGTCATCTCCGCTCTGTCCACATGCTGTCTACTAGGGCAGGGTTTGGGCAAGGCCCTAGGATTTTATGTGACCCTCTTCCATCTTCCCGATTTCGGATTTTCCAAGGGCAGGGTCTGGTCTCGATCTCTCAGGTAACTTCTGTAAAGGAACCAGGATGCCCATTGCCCCTGTAGAGGGCCTAGGGACTTGGGCACCAGCGATTTAAAAGGCAGGAGGGCCCTTGCATCCCAGCCCCTGGTTTTGTGATGTTTTATACCCCTCTGCAAAAATTTAGGAACTGATCCCAGAAAGGTTGAAAAGGTACCTGTAGAGCTTCCCAGATGGACCAGGTGGCAGAAAGTCCCCCTTGAACTGCCCTGCATATTCTCAGACATCCTGCTGCAGGAGCAGAACCAGGAGTGAGCCCGCACAGTGTCGGGTGTAACTCAGACAAACAAAAAGGATTGAATTCCTAAGTTTCAGTAGTGTATTCATGTATTTGGACTCACTGCCCCAGTCCCAGCACAATTCCTTTAATCTGGAAACTGCCCAGTCGGGTCTACATGTAGAGTTTTCAGCGCCCCAGAAAGGTGGTTCTTTTAAGTTGCTGTCAGTTGACACCTTTGGACCTTTGGAGAAATTGCTTAGCGGCAATTGGGAGCAAAGTCTGGCCCAGGTCTGGCTCTGTGAAGATATACCAGGCAGTAGAGCAGAACAATCAAGTGGGAGATTTTTATACCTACCCTAGGAGTAATTGTTTTGTTTTGAGCCACAATGACTGTGCTCGGGTGTACTCCTGGCTTTGTACTCAGGGATCACTCCTGGCAGGCTCAGGGAATGATATGGGATGCCAGGGGTCAAACCTTGGTCGTGTGCACGACAGACACCCTGCCCTCTGTCCTACCCCTGCGTGATTGTTAAGTGCTAGGACATTCAGTGCCAGTGGGGTTGTGGTATAATTGGTTGCAGACACATACCAAAATTGGGGACATTTGTATCAGACTGCTGCCAAGATGGCTCCCATGACCCCTGCTCCTAGTGATTTTCCTGATGCTCCTCTGGGTTTGGAACCATACAGTACGGAGAGGAGACACCAGTTCTGTGATTCAGTTACAAAATATGGTGACTTCTGTCTTGCTAGAAGGTTTTACTGTCTTCTCTGGTGCGTGCTTTGGTGATGCAAGTGCCATATTGGAGAGACCCATGTGGTCAGGAACTCTGCATTTCTGCCCAACGTTCAGCAGCTCACAAGAAACTGAATCCTGGGGCTAGAGAGGCAGTGTGGCAGGTAGGCGCTCGCCTTGCACAGGGCTGACTTGCGCCCCATCTTGTACCTCAAGCCTTGCTCGGCGTAATCTCAGAATGCAGAGTCAGGAATAAGCCCTGTATGAGCCCACCGGGTATGGCTCAAAAAAATAAATAAATAAAAAGACATTGAATCCTGACCTCAGCCATATGAGGTCGGAAGAGAATCCTTCCCCTGTCAAGCTCTGAGATGAGAGCGTGGTCTCAGGCAACGCCTGATCACAGCCTGAAGCAGAGAAAGTGCTCGGCCGTCCCTGGACCCAAGCCACACAGAAGTGGGCAATAAGTGTGAGTTGCATCAAGCTGCTTTGTTCTGTTAGTTTTATTTGGGCGCCACACCTGACTGTGCTTAGCGCTCACTCCTGGTGTTGCTCAGGGAGCCGTACGTGCTGCCAGAAATTGAACCTGAGTCAGCTGCATGCAAGGCAAATGCCCTACCCATTGAGCTAACTCTCCAGGACCCGTTTTGTTGCAGTTTTGTTATGCAGGAATAGATCATTGTCACACATATAGTAACACTATTTTTTGGTGGTGAAAAGGTTTTGTTTATCATTTGATTCATTAGAGAATGCCAAAAAACATCTAGAATTTAGTGAATCTAGTGGACAGTCCCACTGGGATTTAGAGAAGTGTGGAATAAAAGTTGAGACAATGGTTTAGTTTTGTCTTTACTTTCTAACATATTTTTCTGAAATTTCCCATAATTTCAAATACAGCAGCATGGTTTCAAACAGTGGTTTAGCCTGTCCAGGTACATACAAGCAGTATTTGAATATGTAAGTTTGGGTATATCTTCTCAGGATTACTGAGATATAATTGATATATAAGTCTAAGATTTATACTTGAACCTTTTATGCATATATATTGTAAAAAGGTTATCAAAATTAGCTTAGTTAGCATATTCATCACTTCACAAAGCTACCATTTTTATTTTGCAATTTGACAAAACTTTAACCACAAAACTACCTTTTGATTCAATACTAACCAATGTTTCAAATTTAGAAATTTATCCTACAGCTGTAGTCCCCCAAAAAACAATTACTATATTCCCAGGATATAACTAAGACCATTATATAGTTTTGTTGGTGTGTTTTTATAAGGATAATGGAAATGTAATACGGCAGTGATTTGGGAAATTGTGATCCATCCATTTGTTGAATTTTGTTCAATTGCTAAAAAGTATAGTTAAAGACTATGGTAGAAACATGGAAATATTGGTTATAAATATCAGATCTTTTACAATTGAAATGCTTCCAGATGATAATGATTGCAATTATATAAACATGGTAAGAGCCGAAAGAAAATTCACAAAATTGAATGTAATGCTGGTAGAATTTGGAATGTCTTTGTTCAAGTAGTTAGGACTTAGCACTTAGGTTTACATGGTAGCACTGTAGCACTGTCCTCCCGTTGTTCATTGTGAAATTGTGTGAGTGTGCGTGTGTATGTGTGTGTATACACATGTAAAGCATAAATATATTTGTGAAGGCTCACTCAGAGGGACCTGGGGACCTCCTCTTCCTGCATCAAGGTGACAGTTTCTGGCATCAGTGCCTTGGCCTGTATCCTTGGGGTGTGGCCAACCTCCACCTGTTGGTTGCTGTGACTCTCATGGAAATGTGCTGCTCACTCTGCTTTTTGGAGCACGGCTGACTGACAGCCGCAGCTGTGGTTACTCCAGCTCCACCAAGGCCAGACCTGTGGGTGTCCTGAAGCCAGTGGCGGGTCCAAAGGCAGTCCCATGGCATGTGCGGGATTCCTTCAGGGGTGACTGACCCAAGGATTCCCAGTGACCTGGGCAGAGGTTTCCCAGAACTGCAGTGTCAGGGCCTTCCTCCTACCCCTCCTTCATGCAGTGTCAGAGAGGAATCACCATAGGAATTGGGGACGAGGAATTCTCTTGTAAGAAATCCAGAGAGCTCCAGATACATGAA